TTGCTTCAAGACTTTTGGCTTATAGTATTAAGAGGAAATGGAGGACCAGCAGTTGGCGTATTAGCTATGTTGCTGGACTTCCACGTAGTCGACCGCAGTTCGAGTCCCAGACCTGGTGGCTTAAACTCACACTTAGCGTGTGTGTGTGCGTGCCCAAGATCCTGAGAGGAGAATGGAGAAGAAGGGACTGCGGTGTGGCCATTCCCCCTGGGGGGTGATTTCTCGCTGTCTCTCTGTCTCTCTCTTATTGGCAAGCACACGCACCCTATAGCAAAAACCTCTCAAAAAAAGGGGGGGGGAGAAACTCATAAAGGGGCAAAACTTACGAGCTCAGTTTTGGAAAAGCATAAAGTACAAAATGTCTATAAGACATCTAATTGGAAAATCAGCTAAGCATCTTGATGTGCAATCTACCTCTCTCACAGAATTATAACAGTGTCAGCTTCCCCACTAAACAATCCAAAAGTAGGTACCGCCTTTATACCCTTGTTGCCTAACTCAGGACAAAGAACACAGCAGACATCTGATAAAATGTTTTCTGCACAAATTTAATGTTCTCTTCTAAAATACACCTCTGGATAGCATCTAATTTACTATCCTTTCAGTTCACAGAAACATCTTTTTCCCTTTTTGAAAAATGGGAAAGTAATGTGCTCCATCTTCCAGAATTTCTGTCATTTTCCCCATGATTCCACAAGGATTACAGACAGAAAACTAGCCATCTCAGATTTGCCTCCTCCTGTCCTCGTCCCCACTGCCCAATAAGGCATTCAACAAACAGAGTAAGTGTCGACAGCCTATGCACTAAGCTAAATGATGGGCATACCGAAAGTGAGGAAGCCCGTGTTGTTCTTCATGCAAAGAACTCTTTCCTAAGTAAGGCAACATACATAGAGAGATACACCACAAAGTCGTAACTATTTTGACGGAAGTATTTAAAAAGTGCTTTGGGAGAAACAGATGTGTCTCCCTCATCTTTTTCTGGAAGGAAAGACCTGGGAAATTTTTCTTAAGACCAAGAAAATTCACAGGAGCCTCCTTTCCCCTGAAGTCAGGTAATTATCTACAATTATTCTCCCTGTAAGGAAACCTTATCTAGCCTTAATCTATCTAAATAGATTTTTGAAACTCAAAAATTTTTTAAATCCCTAAATAAAACAAATATAATTAATTTTCCGGTTTTTAAATGTCTTGAGTAAATATATGCATGCAAAGGAAAGAAAACAGAATACCAGTGTTAGCAAAGGCTCTTCGGATGGTGGTACTAGAACTTAGATCTCTTCTTTTACCTTTTGTACTCTTGTTTCCTCCAGATGTTCTAAAAAGAGCATGTTAACTTTGTTTCTGCAACTAACAGCAAAAGCTTTTGTGAGACCTAAATCTAAGGGATTTAGCAATAAAAAAAGTTTTTTAAAGTTTTATAAAGGGTGAAGTAAACACACATGAAATGGGAACTAAATTCATACAACACTTCTGGTCAGCCTGTCCATAAATCCTCCAAAGCCTAGAGAATGAAACTTCTGAGGCCCCGCCACTGCAGTGTGCACTGCTGTGGTGCTGGGCTCTGCAGCCTGGGCTGGTTCCTGGGCCAACCTACAGCTCCTGGTCCTAACCACAGGTGCAGCAGTGTGTGCCTATAATCCCGGCACCTGGGGGAGGTTACAGCAAGAGGATCATGAGCTCGAGGCTGGCCGAGGCAACTGTGTGAAGGAGGCAGGCACAGTGGAACCTGTGTCCCAGCTACTCAGAAGGATGAGGTACGAGGAGCACCACACAGCAAGACCCTGTCTTTAAAATAAAAAGAAATTCCTGAGTGAATAATTCCACTTCTAAGAAATTAATCCAAAGAAAATGATTGGCAATACAAACAAAACTATTCAAAAGTATATATACATAACATTTACAAAAGCAAAACATTAACACAACTTCTCTTCCAACAGTTCATGCATTTAACAGATATTTATTGAGTACCTAACTATGTGCCAGGCACTGGAGACCCAGCAGTGAATACACTGTACAAAAATCAGAACCGAAGTACCTGCTCTCAGTGGAGCGCACAGTCTAATGAGGGGTGAATGATGGGATATAAAGAATAAGCATGCAAAATATTTGGCCTGTTATATATGGATACTGACTATAAAGAAAAATGAGGCAAGGAAGGGAGATGGGCACTACATACACAGATGGCCAGGAAAGGTCCAAGGTGGTGGCTTTAGGGAAGATTTAAAGTGACTACTGTTTTATACTAGAAATGATGTACTTCATTAAATCTACCACACCCTTTTCAATTCCTTTGGTGACTGCACAAGACGTTCCTTTACTCACAGACAACAGATATAAAGAGCTCTTAAGATCTAATGAATCCATAGACCTGAAAAAGTCTAAGCTCACAGCCCACGGTCTGTTCCTGCTATAATTTCAATGCTATCTCATCTTCACAACTGCCCCCCAGGTACATAAAAATTCTTCATTTTATGCACCTTATTGAACGTGATGCTTTAAATTGGTATTAAATTATAAAAACAGAGTTCCACTCAATGTTTCTGTATGGTTCAGAGTTACACATGATTCAATTTAAGAATTATTCCAAACCCTAATTTTCAGGGTACACTGGCCACAGCTCCTCAAGTTTTACAATGAATGTACTGTTGCACGCATTTACTAAAAGCATGGCAGCAGGCTTAGTTACACTGTCACTTTCTAGCACAGGGTTACAGGGCCTCAGATGCTCCCATTTACCAGGAGGAAGTTTGATAGATGATACAAGTAAGACCGTGTGTCGTTCCTCAGTTGATCAGCATTTCAGATGACTAAGGGAAAGCGCCTAACTCCAACGCCCACAGGGCAATAACAAGCCAATAAAGCTGCTACATTTGGACTGAAATGGCAACCACCCTCTGCTAAATCTACCTCATTCAAATTCTGTATAAACCACTGGGATGATCAAATAAACACTAGCAAACAAAACTTCAGAGTACCAAGGAAAAGGAGTATGTGTAGGACCCTATTGACAGACTAGATCGATGACACACTGGGGTAACTCTGGGAGCCTGGTGTAGAGGCAAGAGCCAGCAAACGTTTTCTGTAAGGGGCCAGCGAGGAAATACTTAAGCTCTGGGAACCAGATGGACTCAGATGCAACTACTCAACCCTACCACTGGAGCATGAGGACTCAGATAATACAGAAATAAATGGGCATGGCTGTCTTCCAATAAACCTTTACTTACAAAAACCTTATTTATTGTCCTACTAGCCACAGTTTGCCGATCCACTGTGTAGGACATCAAGGTAAATGTGTACTGATTCTAGAATACCACTGGCTTTCTGTTCTCTTGTTTGGGCTAAATTCCTGGTATTGCCTTTTTGTTAACGTATACAGTGGAAAACTGTGGGGGGAGGCAAACTTTAAGTTAACTGACAATTGTAATCATGTTTTTACAAAGAAACATGAAGATATGTAAATATAAGAGAGAAGCTGCTAAAATTTTACATGCAAGCAGAAGAGCTGTACACAAAACAGCTTACAAAGTGAGCTGTAGGAACTTAAATCTGCCTGGCCAAGAGTTAATAAGGAGTGAATAACGATTCAGCTAGAAAAATAGACATTAAAAATATTTCTACAATAATAAAAAATGGAAAACAGCCTCTACATGCTACTTCTAGAGGGCTAATTAAATAAATGATGGTACATCCATACAGTGCAACCATTTAATAGAACAGAAAATATTTATTGATAAAAAGATGTTTTTGATTTGTTTTTTTTAAAAAACAGGTTACAAAATTGAATGTACAGTATGATCTCATTTTTCTGAAAATAAATGTACATATACACAAACAAGTATACATAAAACCACCTACAAAATACACCAAGGTAATTACAGTGGTACCATGAATGGATGGCGACAGCTTCTTCTGGCTTAACTGCAATTGCTAATCTTTCAAGAAACAAATACTGATTTGATAATAAAAAAAAAATCTGACATGTAAAATAATCACTAAAACAGGTGCAACATTATTTAGGTCAACATGTTCAAAATATGCTCTCAAAGTACAAAAGTTACACCAGTTCTCAAATTTTCAAACAGCAATCTCTCCTAGTCTCCAAATGCTAGCTATAAAGATTAAGAAAATTGAGAAATTACACATAAAAAGAAATGTATATGGTAGAATAAATTAATCAGAATCCTCAAGTGAATGACTATAGGAAGTAGGCATCATTTATCAAACCACTTGAACAATCCAAAATGTTTGACACTCATCCAATTTATCTACTTTAATACTGCCTCTGACATTACCAAAGGGTTCGACTGAGGTTTGAATGAAAAAAGTTAACTATCATTAACTGACGCCACCGAAGAGAGGATCTTCAATCACCAACTTTGGGGAAAAGGAAGAAGGGGGGGGAAAGTCACACTACAATGTGATGGATCTCAAAATTCCATGAGAATTCCATATTCGGGGTCCAAACACATCTGTAAGAGACTCAAAGGTCAATTAATTGTTATTATGGCGAAGGCTCACTCAATCCTAGTGGGCTATTGCTAATAGCCAGTATAATTCTGGACCACCTGCCTAGCCCACCAATAAAATACAATGTAAAGAGTACTTTGATAAAAACTATTTTTCAAATGAGTCTAAGAGTAGTGATCACAAAAACACTGTAGCAGTGAAAACTTCAACATAAAAATGTTACAATTATACTTACATAAAATTGTATATGTACCTAGACAAGGACTCGAAGGAAAAGTAAATAATTTTCTAGAGTGGTGGGACCATAGGGAATTTTAATTCTATTATCATTATATAATCAGACCAAGAACATATTTTTAAACAGAGTAGAGAAGATAGTAATTTATCAAATGTAATTTATTCCTGAACTAGCTACATTGTTTTCAACTAGGCACATAAAGCCAAATCTCAAAAACATGCACATCTATACACCACCCAACACCTGCACAAATACCCTCCTATACCGTAGAACAGGAGATTTCACAACTTACCATTCAGGCCCAAAGTTCAGGGTCTGCGTTTCCGCTGCCATTCTTTTCTGTATTTTTACAATGGATTTTTACACGTGAAGAAATCTGTGAGAGAGAGAAATATTTCCATTCATTAGTCAAGAGTAAATGCAAATTCCAAGGCCAGAAAATATGCTGAGAAAGCATGTTTTGCTTACATTCCTCTCAATTAGAGTCATGATAATCGGATTTTGAATTCTTATTTGTAACAGGTAAAGTAAAAATGAATAAACCCACACTTACACTCCAACTCATCACTTTTTTCATCTATCTGGGGAAAGGAGGCATGGTATAGTCTAAGACGACACTTAGGGAAGGGGAAGCAGACCATTAAGCCTCTGGCCTTCTGCCTTAGTGCAATGGGGTTGGAACAAAGGGCAATACCTACATCATAGTTTCTATTACTCCCTTGCAGTGGCTCCCCCATCACCAGAAGAGTGCATCAAAGAGTCTTGAAAATAATGTCTCCCCATTCTCCTTCGCACTTTACACCCTTTTAAAAATCACATTGGGGGACTAGCAGATGGTATAATGGTTACATCACCGGACTCCTGTGTAGTTGACCACGGGTCGAGTCCTGGACCTGGTGGCTTGAAAATCACCTCGGGCATGTGTGCGTGCATGACCAAAATCCCAAGAGGAGAATGGAGGAGAAGGGATTGTGGCGTGGCCATATACCCTGGGGGGTGATTTCTCACTTTCTGTCTCTCTGGTGAGTGCACATGTCCTATAAATAAATAAATAAAAATCACCTTGGATCAATCAAGTTTAAAATAAGCTAATGAATTTCACGGGTGACATCTCAAAAGCAATCTTATTCAGATATTAGAAATAATAAATAAAAAGTAATAAACTAGGTCCAGCCACTATGGCTCTTATGATAGAGCACCACTGTGCAATACCGGAGCACATAGGAAGCTCAAGTTCCAATCTGGGGTCAACCTATTCACAGAGGGCATGCCCACAAGCACCTATAATCCTGAGTGGCTGAAAGGCAAGATTGTGGCATGAGAGACCCAGGTAAGGGTGGTCTGTCTCTGTCTCTCATCAGAGAAACAACTGGGTCTGGGACTCAAACCATGCAGTTGGCCATGTGGGACCCAGTCACCTCAACCTCTACCCTACCTGGTGGCCTCCCCCTCCTCACCTCTTAAGCAACTGGTGATTCAAAGAAAATTTAAGACTCACTCAATCACTGAATTTTAAATTGATTAAAAAAAAAAAAAAAAGAGGGCCAGTTAGTGGTTGAGGCAGATGGATTCCACATGGTCATCCAAGCAATTTGAGTCCTGGATCCAGCAGCTTGAAAAACATCGAGCACCTGTTTGTTTGTGCCCATTATCCCAAGAGATTGGACTGCAATGTTATCTTCCCCCGAGGAAGTGCTTTCTTACTTTCTCTTTCAACCTGAATGACATGACCCTACACTGGTAGGAAGAATGAGGAAGAAAATTTCTACAATGCCAAGTTGAAGTGTGATTTAAAGAGTTACTAATAAGTGAGTTAGAAGAGTCTTGACTCTGAATACCTAGAACTCCTAGGATTATAAGGACATGTAACAGAGAAAACAGGACAGGGAGAAAGCACCCCCCCCCCAATGGGATGAGGTCACAGCACAATTCCCCTTCTTTCACCTCTCCACCCTCTCGGTACCTTGGCACATATGCACACATACCACATGTGTCCCTCAAGCCAATGGGCTGGTATTTGAACCATGCAGTCAGCCATGAGGGATCTGACTCCCTCAATCAGGCCTCAGGGCTAGCCTGCCATTTTCCTTTAAATATATGCACAGAAATTATGCACTATATAATAAAAATCTATCAGACTCATTTACTAAGTTTAAACGAACTCTTTTCTTAAATGTACAATAAAAATTTTAAGTAATAGAAAAGTATATCTGGACTTAACTTGGCAATAGATTTTTTAGTAACGTATAAAAGGAAGACTCGCACAAGCTACACATTTATACATGATTTAAAAATTATGGTTTATCCCAAATGAAATTACTTGTCACAGTAGTGATGATCAGATCTCAGGTAAGGTGCCCCCTGTTAAATTAGGACAGGTATCCTGCTTGTAAGTCAGCCATGAGACCTTATTTAGCATAAATCAACTCAGCGTGCTTTTCAAAGGTACAGACCTATAACTTAGTCATCAGAGCTATGGAGTCTACACAACCAACTGTAAAATTTTCCACAATACAAAACATCTTAAGGAAGTGTTTTTGCCACTATTTATTTTTCATTTTTAATAACTTACTTACATTTAATCGTTGTTATTATTATTTAAAACCCCACACAGATAAATGTTTGAAACTCAAGCCCCAAGGGGACTGCTGATGATTGGGAAATGGTTCTGACTTTATAAAGCAAGTCAGGATTTATACCAGACTGAGTTTTTGTTTTGTTTTTTAATATGAGGAGCATGTGCTCAGAGACAGCTCAAGTGAGAAAGCGCACACCAAGGAGAACAGCTACACTGAATCCCTACTCTCTCACTGATTTGGGGCATGCCCAGCATCGTGATGTTTAAGCCTCCAGGTCCAGGATTCAAACCATGACTGGCCATGTGGAAGTCCAGCATCTTAATCACTCCACCTGCTGGCCCCAAGAAAACTAATTTCTACTGTAAAGATTTCTGAAGAACTCTTAAGAATCTAAAAATAACAATCCAAGGAATTTAATTATCAAGGACGGAGACCTACATTACTTAGAATGGTGTTCTGCTCATTCTCCACTTTGAATTAAAACCAGAAATCCAAGCGGTATGCCTACTAAAGAAATCTAATGCAGAGCTAGAAGGTGGCATGGTGGTTAAGGCACTGGATTCCCACATGGTTGACTAGAGTTCAAGTCCTGGACCTGGAGGCTTGCCTTCTCACTTTTCCTCTCTCTTTCATTTACTCTCTCTCTCTGTAGTGAGTACATGTGTCCTATAGCAAATTTTAAAGTAACAATAATGATAAATAAAATGAAATAAATATTTTAAAAAGAATTCTAACTCAAAGTACTTTAAATACCGTACTCTCTTAATTCTGAGTTCCCCCACCCCAGAATGCTCCTTCCAAATCAACTTAAATGAACCAGGGTTAGGTACATTTATTTATATGTACTGGAGGGATGGTCTTACACTGCACTTCTAAATTATAAATTACCTGGAAGGAAAAGTGGGCCTTATTTCTGAATAGTCTTTTGTAAGAATGCAGTGAGATACTAAAATGAGTACACATTTCATCACCATCTTAATCCCCACATGGCCAAATGTTTTCAACTCAAGATCCTAAAAGAATTGTGACCTCTAGAAAACAGCTTAAATTTATAAAGCAAGGGGCCAGCAAGTGGCATGGTGGTTAAAGGCGCTAGACTCCCACATGGCCGACCGTGGTTTAAGTCCTGGACCTGGTGGTTTGCTTTCTTGCTTTCCCTCTCTTATTGAACTGGAAAATAATAATAATAAAGTTAGATAAAATAATTCTTTAAAAAAATTTTTAAAGCAATTCAGGAATTGAACTAGAACTGGAACAGACATATGGATGTTACGCTCCACCATTCTACTCTGCCTTTTTCCTTTTTCTTTTTCCTTTTTTTAAAATTTGCCACAAGGCACATACACTAGCCAAAGAGAGACAGAGAAGGAGCGAGAGGGGGAGAAAGCATCCTCCAGTGTGGTATAGTCATGCTGCAATCGCTTCTCCATTTCTCCATTCTTTTGAGATCTAGGATGCACACGCGCACACACACACACACACACACACACACACACACACACACACCTGCCAGGACTGGAATTCAAACTGCACAAATGGCCATGCAAGATATTTCTCCCTTAACCAACAGGCCATAGGGCCAGCCCTAGATTGCCTGTTCTTCAAACTATAGCTATTTCCTCCTTTTCCCTTCATGGTATTTTTTTTCTACCTTTATGTCCTATTAAGTCAGCACTGTCCAAATTTTTCTTCTTTTCTATCTTTCCTCAGAGTACCCACAGTTTATTTAACTACAAATTCTGCTCAGATACTGCCTTAAACTTTTTTATCATTTCTGGGCTTTTTATTACTTTTTTTTTTTTTTTTTTTTTTTGCCAGATGGTGCATGCACTTACCATAGAAAGAAAAAGAAAGTGAGAAAGCACCCCATGGGGAATGGTCAGGCCACAATCTTTGTCCTCTGGCTCACCCTCCTTTCAAGATTTTAGGCACGTGCACACACACGCCTGGCACATTTTTCAGGCCACTGGGTCTGGGACTAAAACTTCACAATCAGCCATGTGGGACACAGCCACCTTAGCCACGGAGCCACAGGCTGGCCCTTGAACTTTTTATCTACTGGGCTGTTGGAAAAGTCAGGACATTTTTTTGCATAGAAAATTCCGTCCTGGCTTTCCTGATGACCTAATATAATACATTCTCTATAAACCTTGTGGATAGAACTCTACCTACTAAACAGTGGCGAAGAAGGCATGCAGGGAGTGGAGATGTCATTATAATAACAGCAATATAGAATTCTGCCACAAATTTCCAAATGATCCCTTGGAAGCAAAGGAGAATCCCACTCCTGCCACGAACTGATTCTTTTCCTCCTGGACAGTGTGGCACCTCTCACTGCCTGCTCCTGCTCCCGCTCCTGCTGGGCATCTACCTCGTCACTACTGCTCAGGGTGCCATGGCCCACAGTTCACTGGCCAGCCAGCTTAGAAACTCAAAGTCAAACTCCTTCCCCCTCTTCCTCTCATCTCTAGTCATTCGGTCTCAAACTTTGTCAACTCTTCCTCCAGGAGTCCCCTGAGATTTTTTTTCATTATAGTCTGAATTCTTACAAAGTCACATCCAGATTATCGTAATAACTTGCTTCCCTGACTTAGTCTCAAGATCAATTTTCCTAAAGCACCATTCTGGTCATGGCCTACACCCTCTTTAAAAACAAACAGGACTGGCTGGTGGCCTGGTGGTTAAGATGACTGGAACCCATATGGTCAACTGTGCAGTTCTAGATCAGACCCAGAGGCTTGGAAAACATGCCAAGAGAGTGTGCGTAAATGCTGAAAATCCAGAGAGGAAAATGAAG